GCAGTGGCCCTGAACTACCAGTCGGAGGGGCGTGAGCTCCAGGAAGGCCGCCCGGGGTCCCCCGCCACAGCCGCCTGCGGCCGCCCGGCCCACGTCACTCACACCAGGGACTCCAGCCCGCACTCGGGGTGCCGCAAGGCCTCGCACAGCAGGGGCACCCCCTCGTCCAGGTAGTTGAAAGACAAGTTCAGGAGCTTCAGCGTCTTGCTGCTGGCGAGGATGGGGGCGAGGACTGCGCAGTCGTCCCCCGAGAGGAGGCAGTTGACCAGGCTGTGGGACAGGAGGCCACGTCTCGGCGTGTGGCCCCACCTGCCCGAGCGGCCGGTTGGGGACTGACGGGGTGTCCCCCGCCGCCTCCAGCCTGCGCTCCGGGGCCTCCTCGGGGCCTGGACTGAACCTGGGGGCTCAGCAGTGACCCCCCTGCTTTCAGGCGGTGCCCCCAGGCTACAAAACGTGTCCCCACGGCCACTGCAATCCTGTGTCCCGTGCGGGCCATTTTCCGTCCCTGGACATGCAGTGAGGGACTCCCGTTTGCTGTTCCCCAAACTCCCCCCACGCTGGGGCTCTGGACCTGTCCCCGGGGAGTGGCCTGTGTCTGGGCAGTGGGTTGAGAATCCGCCCCGCTGAGCGCCAGGCCGGCCAGGCCATGCCGGGCAGGTGCAGGGGCCCAGGGGCACCGCCAGCAGGCGGCTTCTCGCTGCTGTGCTGTGGGCCCCTCGCAAGGGCTGCGGAGAGGGACCAGCTGGGCCAGCGGGGCGCAGCGTGGCCTGCGACTGGGTGGGAGGCGCGGCCACTCACAGGAGCTCCCGCACGCCGCAGGTGGGGTGGCCCAGCGCGGTGCAGAGATCCTGGACGTCCTGGCGGGAGAGCGCGGTGGAGCCGAGGCTCAGGCGCTGCAGGTCCGGGCAGCGGGTGAGCGCCTCGAAGAAGACCTTGCGCTGCGTGGGCAGCGCCACGTCGTTGATCCTGCGGGAAGGAGCCGCGATCCCAGGCGGATCTCCAGGCCGAGGCTCTGCGCAGACCCGCCCCCGCCGCCCGGCGC